TTCGATTATTTTAATGATTGTTTTAGTACTTTGCTATTTCGTTTGCAAGTGCCGGAGAAAGAAACCGACAACACTCAGCATCGCCGATGGTAACGATCCCCAACAACCTCCGAAGCCAAGTCGAAGACCCCTGCTCCCGATGCAACTCAAATCACTAACTCCGAAAAGACGGACTAGCATCCACCCAGAAGTAACTACCCGAGAAGCTACGCTTTAATTAGTCTACGAAAAGCTGCAGCTAGGCTCCACCTTTTCACTTAATGGGGGAGCTGTTATATCCGGAAATCCTATTGTCCATATGGGTTAAATGCCACCGACCTGCAAGAGTGCAACGATTGCGAAAACGTCGTGTCAACGATATGTCGCAACATCCGCAGCCGTCGACCCCGTCAACGTCAGCATAAATTTATTATAAATACCAATTTCTATTGTAACACGTCGTCTGATAACATTCTCTCATCACGAGGTTATTATGTCCATTTTTAGTTTGATTTTAACGGTCTAATAACATTCTCTCGTCACGAGGTTATTACGTCCAATTTCATTTTGATTTTTATTTTAATTTAAAATTAATAAATATATTTTTTTAAAAAGTTATTTTTGAAAAGTGAAATATAAAATATATATATATATATATATATATATATATATATATATATATATATATATATATATATATATATATATATATATATATATATATATATATATATATATATATATTTGAGGTTGATTCTTAGGGTTTGGTCCACAGTGAACAAAACTCACAAATAATTTTAAAACACTGTAATTGTCATTGACGTTTTGACCGGCAACCCAGGTCTTTCTCAAAAACTGCAAAACAAAGGACAAAAAAAGCGAGATCATACAAAGAATTAGTTCGCTATCAAAAAATAAAACCTCTAACACAGAATATCTTAACAGAGCTATAAATCTATCTGATCCAGAGTACAGAAAAGAAGCTATATACAAGGCTAAGTACACACTAAAACTACACAATTACCCAAGTGCCTTAATTAACTCTATTTTTAAAAGAAGGATACATAAATTCTACAACAAGATTTCTGTTAAGGAAAACACACAACCATCAAAACGAGAATATTGTTGATTGCCATACATACCAAATTTATCGGAAAAAATCTCGAATGTGTTTAAGGGAAGCTCTGTAACAATCTGCCACAAGGATCAAAATTTGTTAAATAGGAATTTCAGTAAACTAAAAACACCAATACCCAAAGATAAAAAAAGTCAGTATATCAAATACCGTGCAACGACTGTGACCAAGTGTACATTGGACAGACTAGCCAACTGTTGAAGAACCGCATCAATGGCCACCATCAGCAGCCATATAACAGAGAAAACACATACTTTTAACTTCGATGACACAAAAATACTTGCTACCGAACCAAACACACAAAAACGGGAAATAATTGAGATGATACATATTCAAAGGAATAAAAACTCCATAAACGCGAAAACCGACATAAAACACCCGAGTGAAATCTATTTCGAATTGTTAAAGTAGACCATTTTAGTGCTCAGATGCTCCACCGCGTATCAGTAGGTCTTAAACTTAACACAAACGTACACTCTAAAAAAATAAATAAATAAAAACTAAAAGGGGAAAAAAAATCAGATACAATGAATGTTTATTTTCCAATTCTATGTTTGATTCGTACGCCAAAGCAAGAACGTTATTGTTTTTGGCAATGATGTATGTTGTGGTACTTTTTCACAAACAGCGCTAATAATAGACATTTAAAAAAAATAATAAATTTGTGAGTATGACTAATATATGTAATTTGTTTTTGTAATATTTGTAATTTTTAAATTCGTATATGTCTTCTGTTTAAGATATTCTCTTTTAGACGTTTTATTTTTTGATAGCGAACTAATTCTTTGTATGATCTCGCTTTTTTTGTCCTTTGTTTTGCAGTTTTTGAGAAAGACCTGGGTTGCCGGTCGAAACGTCAATGACAATTACAGTGTTTTAAAATTATTTGTGAGTTTTGTTCACTGTGGAGAAAACCCTAAGAATCAACCTATAAGAAATATACAAGGATCCAAGAAAAGCATATTTTTCAACTATATATATATATATATATATATATATATATATATATATATATATATATATATATATATATATATATATATATATATATATATATATATATATATATATATATATATATATATATATATATATATATATATATATATATATATACATATATATATATATATATATATATATATATATATATATATATATATATATATATATATATATATATATATATATATATATATATATATATATATATATATATATATATATATACGTGATGCAGAGTGGTGTCCTCCCATGTAAAATCCTCGGTTAAAGTGGCATCCGGGACAAAGTGAACTCCGATATACGGATGCCAACTTGAATTTTTAAAATAATGTCGGCATTACACTTATTTGAGCACCATCTATTCAAAAACACTTAAAACTCGCTGACGTCAATTTTCACGTTAGCTGGATAAAATTATACGAGGTGGTTCAACGAGATTCCGCTTGTGTCTCTAGCATCGATTTCTGTGCCTGTATATTGGTTATATATTTAGCGGTGGCACTGACTTCCCCAATTTATGTGTATATAGTGATATTGGCAACGGTTACTTTGACTTCCATAATTTACCGTGTATATTGGAAATATGTCGTCGGATTATATTGGCTTCCCCATGCGATATAGTTTTATTTTTAGTGGCCACATTGCTATCCCTTAAACCTAACCTTTCTGAATATTTTCATTACCTATAAAAATTTGTGTCGGCGTAACTTAACAATGAATCGTAGAAGTAAACGTATCTTGGATCTAGCTCGAGACAAGAGCCTAGCAGGTAGGAATTTTGACAATTATTGTATTAGCTTTATATTTTCTCAGGTATGTATAATAAGCAACACAATATCGTCTATTTTATTGTAGTATAGTATAGCGGGTACCATGAAATTGAATTTTTAAACGAGTTTTAGCTTCCAAAGGATTTGTTCGGAAAATTGATGAAATTTCTTTAAAATTCGATTGCCTAAATAAATTATAGAAGATCAGCTTTTTTATTTACACTTTTTTTTTGACAATATGTCAAAATTATTATACAATTTGTTTTACACTTAGTTACAAAGTTTCGCCGTATCAAGCATTACGAGCATTAATTCGCAGGTTAAGATTCTTTCAAGATATTTAAAATAACTGAGATTCAACAACGAAATTACGGAAACACATCACAAACAATACAAAAGTCAAATCATTCATGTTAATTTATTTTCAACATATTAAGCGATTCCGTTACTTTTTTTAATGTTAACCAGTTATTTGTGTCCATTTATGTTTGAAAATTGCATTTCTAAATTTCAGAGGCAAGATCTCACCGAAAAATATGATGGAAAGTTTATATAATCAAAGGGCCGAAAATGCATGTTTTGTGAGATAAACGTAAACTTTTCAAAAACCGGTTGCAATTGCAATTTGCAGTATAACCGTGTCATCAAGTATTTTCCTAGTTTACTGAAGTTAGATGACACATCACATTCAATTTTTGGTTTAAGAAATAAAAGCTGAAAACAGTGCTTGTTTTTCTTATTTAAGTTAAGTAAGTTTTCAAATTTTGAGAAAATTGAAACTGAACTACGAATATAAACAATATTGAATTTTTTTCGACAAGATTTTAAACGGACAAAAACTTTCGTCTTTGAAGAAAAGGACATTTTTTATCAAAATTTTTGATTGAACAAAAAATATTATTTTGCATGTAGAGTGTCCAAAACGTTAAAAAATTTTTACAAGAGTAAAGCAAACTTATTTTAAAGTTTTTAGCAAAGTGCTACTCAGATTATAAGTTCTAAATGAGATATTTTTAACCAAACAAGCAAAAAAATATTATCATCCAAACTTAATGAAAACAATTAGATCCAATTTTGAAACATTATTTTGCTAAAAACTTTTAAATAAGATTACTTTACTCTTGTAAAAAAAATGAATTGTAAGAAAATGAATTAAATGAATGACATTTTCTCGAAAAAGTGCATTTTTGGTATCTGGCTTAAATCACAGACAATTTTTTTAAAGTTTTTGTTATAATGTATGGAACTATCCGCGAAAAATGAAAACTACGTAACCTCTTTACATTGTTAAATTATTGTTTTGTAGATATGACTCCTTCAAGCTCGGATAATAGCCAAATAATTTCCGATTCGGAATATAAATTACCAGAAGAATCCGAAGCAGAAAGTACGTGGGAATGTGGATACAGAGAAAGTGATTTTTTTTTGGATAGCCCTATTGAACTGCGTCAAGAATTGCCCGACAGTACATATACTACGATGCAAACAATACAACCAGGTTTACCTCCCGAAGAAAATAATAGCGTTGACCACAATTACTGTGTCAGTCTCAGACATAATGACAATCTGGATTCCGAAGTTAAAACACCTGGAAAAACTCGACGAGTTAGGAGAAAACATCAATGCCTATATTGTAATCAAGATGTCGGAAATTTCTTAAGGCACATGGAGCGTAATCACTGGGACGAATTCCAAGTACAGGAAATTTTGTCGCTAGAGAAGAAATCTAAGAAACGGATTAAGTTGATTGACAAACTTCGTAGGGAAGGTGACTTTTCTACATCAAATATTGTACCTGTAATGGCAAACAAAAAAAAGCTAGTTGAAGACTATATTGTTTGCAAATTTTGTCAAGGCTATTATGCCAAGAATAGCCTTCGTCGCCACGCAAAAAAATGTTTCTTTAATCCCGATCCGAGTCAACGCTTTCAAGCACAGATTGAAGGTCAAACAGTAATGGTTGGGAATTTTGGACCGAATGATCCTTTAAAAATTAGCGGTCTTATAAACATATTACGAGCAGATGAAACTTCGTTGGTTGCTAAGAAAGATCAACTTATTTGTGAAGTTGGTAGGCGCTATATAAAAAGTCACAAAGAAAAAAACGGAACATGAGACGATTAGCTCGTTTACTTATCAGCGTCAGAACACTCAAAAATAATAAAACACTTGGTTTAGCTGAGATTCTCTTACCTAAAATGTTTAAAATACTGGTTTTAGCTACAAGAAACATAGCAGAGTATGACGTTGAAAATCGAAGTTTTAAGTCCCCTTCTTTGGCACTTCAGATGGGAACACTGATTAAACATGCAGTAAATACAGCGTGTTCTATAGAAATTCAAAAGGAAAATCCTCGTAAAAATTATATAGAAAATTTCAAGGAATTAATAAAACTTATTGATAATGACTGGGCAATTGAGGTTTCGAGCGAAGCAGGACAGAATTTGGCTTACAAAAAATTTAACAAACCAACATTAATACCTGTGGCGGAAGATATCAAGGTTAATTTAAATTTATCACTTTTTGAAACTTGTGTAAATATTGGGAAAAAAGTAGCTTCTTGCATAATCGTCGAAAAAATTTGTTTTATAATACAAGATTTATCACAAACCAAAACATAATTTTACCTCATAGATGCGCGTTTTAGCACTCAAGTTGATATCTCCAATAAAAGATTTAGTTTTAATTTTCTCCTGAAGATGGACAAAATTGTGTTTCGGTTATATTAAGTTTATTTGTTTTACAGTTTTTATATTTATGTAAAAATAAAATTAAAAAAAAAAGTAGAGGTATCGCTGTGAAAACAATATCTCACCAAATACATACTATGAAATAATCTTTAATGACTTAAATGAAAGTTTAGATTATCAATAAAAAAAAGTGATTTTGTAATAGAGATAGTTAGATATATAATCAAAATTTCATCATTGTTTTATGTAGTTTTATTTGTTTCAGAAACTGGACCAATATCTTAAAAATCTTATTTCACAAGCCAAACTTGTCTTGGCAGAAAATGATCACAATGAAAAAGCTTATCGAGATTTACTGGAAGGGATATTTTGCAGTGTCATGATTTTTAACAAAAGGCGGGTAGGGGAACTCCAAAGGATGACCCTGTTAGCCTTTTTAGAAAACCACGATTCAGTCCCATCGTCCGAATTTGAAAAAGTGCTGACAAATTCCGAGAAAATTTTATTTAAATCACTCAAACGCATAGTCATTAGAGGAAAAAGGGGTAGAGGGGTTCCTGTAATTTTTGAAAAAATCGCGATGGATTCTACACTCTCTTTAGTAAATCTGAGAAAAAATTTTGATCTTGAAAATAATCAGTATCTTTTTGGTTTACCGGGAACATTAAATCCAATTGGAGGACATACGGTCATGAGAAAACATTCATTACTGGCGCTTGGTGGAAACAAGGCAGCAGGATCATTGTTGACTTCCACTAGGTTAAGAAAGCAGTTGGCAACTATTACTCAGATTTTTAAAATGGACAAAAATGAATTGGAGCAGCTTGCTTCATTTATGGGTCATAATGAAAAAACCCATTCAGAATTTTATCGTTTGCCAGACGACGTTTACCAAACCGCTAAAGTGAGCAAGTTATTATTACTTTCACAAAACAGTGCGTTATTTGAAAAGAACAAAGGGAAACCTCTGAGTGAAATAGAATTAAATGATGAGATCATAGACGAAAGTGATGACAATTATTTAGAAGATATTTACGAAAATGTGTTAGAAAATCAAAACCCGAATCAATTGAAAAATCAGGATCAGGTTCCTGCCTTTGGTGTAGCAGACATTCCTAGAGAAAAAAAACGGAAACGTAAGCTGGTACCATGGACAAACGACCAAAAAAAAATTACGGAGTGTTTTTTCAAAAAACACATTAAAAATAAAATTCCTCCAAAAAAGCAGGAGGTAATGAGATTAATCGAGAGTCATCCTGGGATTTTTACAAACAAAACATGGCCAGTAATAAAAGTTTACATATGCAATAAATTTAATAAAAAATAACGGGTCTGAAGATGTGTTATTTACAAATTTAGAAATGTTTTTTAGTTTGTCAATGATAACGAATGTTACATGAAAACTATTTTTGTTTCCAAATTTTTGCTACGAAAAAGGTTTATTTTTTATTTTATTAATGCAATCTATTTTATTTTAATTCATTTGATCATTGCGTATAAAATATGGTAAATAAAGACTATATATTTAATTTTGCATTTCTCTTATCCCTTCTTTGCAATCCCTTGGACAGAACGAAATTCACATCCGAAATCCAGAATCGAGTGAAGCTCGAGTAATACAATTTCTATCCAAAGTGAGAACAAAAAATGTATATTAATTAAGCCCAATCTGCAACCCCTTGGATACAGCAAGATTCTCAATTGAAATCTTAAATAAGGAGCAGAGGAATACCTTATTTTAAAGCTTTTGAAAAACGCTTCAAGTTCTTGGTTTGCTAGAGAACAGAAACACTTTTTTTGAATGTTGAAATAAATAAAAAAAATTAATGAAATGAAAATTAAATCTTTCAAAAGTTTGCATTCATTTACATCAAACCGAGAAGAATATTATAAAATCTAGATTTTCTAGTATTCCTCAAAAACATTTTTCAAAAGCTTTAAATGAGCATCACTCGAATCCCTTTGCTACTTGAAATTTTAATGGTCAATGTTCAATGTCTAGTTAATATACTTTTATGCTTTCACTTCTCCTGATAGAAATCGTTTCCAGTGATTTTCGATTTTTTTTTCGTCCCTAAACAAAGCTGTTTTAGGTTTTTAAATTGTCATCTCTATATGCAATTATAACTCAAAAGCAAAATAAAATACTTTAAAATGGACATAAACTGTTCCGAAAAATATATAAACATTAGTAAACTAAAAATGAACCTTTTCTAAATTTGTAAATAAAATATCTTCTTCGGATGAGCATATTTTTTTAAAATTTATTGCATACGTAAATTTTTATTACTGACAATGTTTGGTTTATAAAAATCCCAGGACAGTTCACGATTTATACAATTTTTATTTTTAATATGTTTTTTGAAAAACCGTTCTGTAATTTGTTTTTGATCGTCGTTCATGGTAACAACTTAAATTTTATTTTTTTGTTTTTTTCTCTAAGGATTTCTTCCGCAGCAGTTGTAACCTACTCTTCAGTTCGTTGTGATTTTGATTATTTGTGTTGTGAAAGTATAAATATGTTATGCACTTAAGCCGTTTGGGAAACGTCGTCGAGCAAACGATAAAATTCTGATTGTTTTTTTTTTTCATTTAAACCCATAAATAAAGCAACATGCTCATTGTTGTCCATTTTGAATATCTGAGTGTAAGGTTTATCTGGAAACCTTAATTGCCCTAGAAATTTTCCATATAATCCTTGTGAGGATTTTCTTTCTTAATTTCGATGTAATCAGCTGTATTTACCGCATTTTAATCAGTTTTTCAAAGGAGACTGAATCTTGTTAGTTAGTTAATCGGTTTCTTCGATTTTTACTTTTTTTTAAATTCCCGACGCTTTGATCAGCAATGATGTTTTCTCTTAACACGTCGAGATTTTTCAGATTATTTTTGTCTGAGAAAAACACAGTAATTATGGTCAAATTTTTTTTTTTCATTTTTTTTTCGAGAGCTATAACAAGAATATCACTTGAACCCGTGCCCAAGGGGAAGACTAAAACTCTAAACTAAATAACAACGATGACCTTGCGCCCAAATAGCTGACAAAAAATGCGTTCTATAAATAGCAAAGGTGGATGCCACTTCCTCCGTTAGATAAAACCCAAAAAATATACATACATTTGAGTAAATGTATATTGCCAGGATACCACCTTGTATGAATTATGTACGGATGCCATCAGAGACGCCAGATAAATAAATAAATAAATAAATATATATATATATATATATATATATATATATATATATATATATATATATATATATATATATATATATATATATATATATATATATATATATATATATATATATATATATATATATATATATATATATATATATATATATATATATATATATATATATATATATATATATATATATATATATATATATATTCTCCAAATAGTGGAAATAACAACAATTGGTCTATAGTTTTCTGAATCTGAATATTGGTACTTTTATTACAGATCTTCTAATCGTCATTATCTAATTAATTCTAAAGCTATCCCCCCTGGTCCTATTTGAATGGGAGCTTCGTTTATTTTAAATCTATTTCTTGTTTTGGTCAGTAATTCTTTTGAAGTGCTGTCCACTGTGTATGTGTAGAACGGCGCCCAGGAGGGCCCTAGAGGCTCTGGTGGGGTTGCCTTCTCTGGCGGATCGGGTGCAGATGGAGGCGGCCAGGACAGCTGAGAGGCTGGCGAGCTGCGGGCTCTGGAGGGAGGCAACCTTCAATCGGGGTCCGTACGACATTTTAGAGGGCTGTCGCGGGGTCATGGGCATGCCGAATGACGCCATGATCCCTTCTTTGACAAATTGACCTTTCTCTTTCCATCAAGGGAAGATTGGAGAGAGGGCAGAGTCGGCTCCTGGGATGGATTTGTCTGGTACACGGACGGGTCCAGAATGGGAGATCTGTCCGGAGCTGGAGCGTACTGCGAGACAACGGGATCGAGCTTGTCGGTCCCTCTGGGTCAGTACTGCAATGTGTTTCAGGCGGAAATTTTCGCTTTATTGATGGCGGCCAGAGAGGTGCTTCGGCTCAACCACGGAAGCAGGAGAGTCTTCTTCTGCTCGGATAGTAGGCCTGCACTCATGGCGCTGAAGTCAGTACGTACGCGCTCCTTGTTGATAAAGGAGTGCAAAGGGGTACTGAGGAGGGTGACTGAGGAGAGAAAGCTCACGTTGGTGTGGGTCCCGGGTCACACCGGTATCCGGGGCAATGAGGCAGCGGACGCCTTAGCCAGAGAGGGCTCCTCGCATAGGCATATAGGGCCAGAGGCCCGCTTGGGGATCGCCCCGTGGGTGAGGCGGGGAGCTCTCGAAGCCTGGGCGAGAGACCGAGCCGCGGGGGGCTGGAGAGTTGCTCCGGGAATAAGGCAGGCGAGGCTTATGATGGATGGGCCTGCCCTTTCTCGGACCAGGGAGCTGCTTAGACTGACCAGAAGGGAGTGTAGAGCACTAACAGGGGCCTACACCGGACATTGCAGGCTTAGGAGGCATCTTTGCTTGCTTTGACATGGGCAAGATTGGGAGTCTTCGGAACGGCCCTGATCGATCCGGACTCAGTGCACGGTATTGGGCTAAAGGAGTTGCTGACCTTCTATAGGAGGAGCGGCATTCTGGACGCCCTCTAGAGCGGCCTGGGGGCACAACAGGTTCATCTTGTAGCCTAAGTGCTTGGACGCCCGCGAGGGCGCCCCCCTTTAATACCAATACCAATACCAATACCACTGTGTATCTGGTATATTATTCAAGTGTATTTTTCGTTTTGTTCGTAAATTTATTAATCTTCCATGCGTCTGAATTTCTTGTGCCGCACAAGTGATTGTCCACGTACTGGCATTTTATCCCAAGCGTTGTTTTTCGTTTTCGATACTTACTATTGTTGACTAATAGTTAGTAAGAGTTCGTCTTCCTCTATTAAAACTGACGTTTCAGAAAGTTTTCCTAAGTTTCTTCTTATGTGGAATGAAATCATCCTTCTTCATTTCAGATATTATTTTGTTCAAAGTATGTATTTTCTTTTTCAAGCAAAACGAATGTATTATTCTTTCTGTATTTCTCTTCGGTGGCCTGATGAGGCCGCGTTTAGTTTTGCAAATTCGAATGGTGAATTTGAGTTAGAAAAACACAATTTGGCCAATTACTGCCGTGACCTCTTCATAAGTACAACACGGCTAAAACCAATAAGTTTTACAGTTCAGTAATGATCTTTAACTCTCTGACATTAAGAAATAGAGCATAGTTATAACATTTTTCCCATAGGGGTTACACAGATCCTCTGATGCTCTGCACATATTCTCACCAATTTTGGCACTAATGGTTCGAGTAATGGCAATTAATTCCCTTCGAGAAGTTAAAACTAGTTCTTCAAATTTTCACCTTTGTCATATTCAGGAAACAGTTTTTTTTTAAATTAAATAGTACGATTATTTAAAACGTAAATCTGTCCGAGGGATCGGAAAATATTTGATTGTGTCCATTTATCATGTCATTATTGTGCTGCCTAATGCACTTTAATGATTATTGTTACGGCGCCATAATAACAAATCCGTTAACGAACCGAAAATCTGCTCACGCCCCTCTATTTCTGACCGTAACGTACCAGCCCATATTGGTTTTGTACATCACATGGTTTTAATGTATAAACAGTTGCATACGGTTGAGTTAATTATTCATTTCGCGTCAGTGCGTCGTGTTTATTTTAATTATGGGAATTAAGGGTATAATTATTTTGCAAATAATAGTTAGTCGGTGTTTAGGGATCGCGTAAAACCCGCCCCAAAACAAAATGAATATTTGGCTACCGGGACAACGCCGTTATGGCGGGCGAACGTGTGTAAAATGTTTTTGTCGGTTATAAACACACAGGTGCAGTTGGATATTCTGTCGTCTTGCCTGCACCGACTGCCATTTTGACTCGAGTTATTCTGACTCATTAAAAAAAAAGTAATGTATTGACAAACACAACGGGCGAAAATTTTTCTACGTAAATTAAAAAATAAAATCGAATCAAATGGAATTTACAAATTTAAAATGCTTCCAAGTACAGGCTGTTATTTAATTGAGGGTGAATGTTTAACGGGGTAATTGCTGAGTCAATTTTGAAAAATGCAGGTGTTAACTTTTGCACAAAATTACTGATAAAACTGTACCTAACAGGCCACAAAAAAGTTTTCTGTCACAACTAGCACTTAATTGTAACTGTAACCTCGATAACGCTTCTGTCGACAACGTGATCATCCTTAGTTGTCGGCGACTCGCTGGCCAGGAGGACTCCTCGACTAAGCTGTATAAGGCGTCAATTTCGCGAAGTCAGTCATTAAAGAGTTGATAAAGGAAAACTCCCGGAAACAATTTCTAAAACAATAGGATGTAAAAGAAAACTGTTGGCTAGCTAGGAAGCTATTGAGCTGTCCAAACGAAACAGCAACCGAACAATACCTGACTATTTCCAGGAAAAAGATTTCTTATGGGACATTGCTTACTTAACAAACACTAATTCAGATTAGGTTTAAGTAGCAACACCACGTGCAAGGTATGCTAAAAGGAAGACGAGACAGTAGGCTACTAAATTAAGACAAAACAATTAGAGATATATTTGTAAAATATATTTCCAGTGTTTCCAATATTTGTCAAAACTTTTGAACGATACGCAATTATTAATCCCTCAATTTCATTTAATGGAAATGCAAAATCATTTAAACATTTCGCGTTTCAGTTTTAAGTTATATTGCCAACAAAAAAACCGCGCGGCGACCTGGGCGTACTAAATATCAAAAGCAAAAAAGATATTAAATTAACTCCTTTGAAGCCGTCTACTATATACACAAATCGAGTTCGCGTTGATTTCAACAACCAACACACTTCGGCTTTGGGCTGCTGTTGTTGCGGAAAATTCGGCTTTGATATATTCGACGACGTGAAAAATGTGAATTTAGCAAAAGCCCCTCGGATTTTGCGTTATCTCTTGTATTTTCGAAACCCCTCTTTAAAAATTGCATGTAAAATTAATATCCGTGAGCTTTAGGACTAAAATTTATAGATATAGAAATGCTTCCAAATTCACAAATATCTGTGCAAACTATAGGAAACCATAGGAAACTAAAATTTACACTTACATCTAAAGCTAAACAAACACTGTAGAGCCACATATAAGCAAGAGGAATACGCCTATATTTCTCTTGCCCCGCGTTTGAACTCTTTCGTTTCGCCAAACATAACTATTGGCTTCTTGAGATCGATGTCTCAACCTAAGAGGCGAATGCTCCCAACGCACATAAATTACCGGAGGGGAACGTGGTCAAGGAAACGGGAAGTGAGGAGCTCTAATAGTTTGATGTATGACTGAAGCCCAAGTGGGTGAGAGATAAAAACGTATTTCGCCGTTTATATTGTTTGGGTGGTTGGGTAATATTCAGAATGCAGAGTTCAGAAAGTACTCCTGCTATGGCGATTTAATGATCCGCATCACTAGAATTCGTTCGGAGCATGACCTCATAGCTAGCTAATTGATTAACGTATGCTGCACTGCCATCTGTATATGGGTGGCAGAACTAAACCGAATTATTTGGCAAGAAATCTATAATTTTGATATTTAAAGACCTTCCCTGAAGACAGGGGATTGTGAACTAATAAAAAGACGCTACTAGTAACTACGGTTAACTTTCACACAGGACAAATAAAAAACTATATATATTGTATAATTATTAGAGTTTATTTTAGTTTATTCTTTTGAAAGAAGAATGGATTCGATACAAGCACTATGGTCTGACTGATCTCTTGTTTTCTTTCAGCCTGGTTTTACCACAGACAGTATGCTGAAGAGTCCTGCGGTGTCCAGTCGTAGATGTTGGAAAATTTTTGCTCAATTAGGAAATATGATTCTGGTATGATTTTTGAGAATTTTAATATTTGGTAGAAGACATTTGGTACTTAAGTATCGTATTTGTTGCTTATACCCACGATAAACTACCCGTTTAACGTAGATATACTTCGATTCGGTTACGGTTATTCTCGGTACAGCAAAAATGTAAGGATACTACAACGACCCTTTTCACATGACATAACCTCTATTTTTTCGACTCATTCGTCTTCTTGACTAAACGGCCAAACCGCGCTGTTGCCAGCTTATGAAATAATCCTAACATCAAACAAAATACAATGCAATGTTTTCGACAGTATTAACAAATGGTGGCTCGGTTTAAGAGTCAATCGAGGTTTTGATGATAGTGGAAGTTATTTGTGAGAAGAACAGAGGTAAGATATTTCAATTCTTAGCTCAAAGATTCACGTTGCAAATGATTTTTAGGCCGGTGGTTAGGTACCTATCAGTATGAGTGCGCTTTCTGTACTCAAAATGGCCTAAGGTATAAGCCTGCTTTTCGATTAATAAGAATATCTAAATAGAAGGAAAATTGTTGTTGTTTTCTCCAAACAATTAGCAAACAAATGAATAGAATCACAGATACCAGGAACAGTGGACCAAGCATAGTTAAACTTAAAGCATCAATAAGGTTGGTGCTGATGAAATAAAAATTTGTGAAATGGATTTAACATTTTCCTGCAAGTCGATTGTTTTCACCTTCGTTCCACTGGCTATTTGCCGCCTTTATAGTTCATGATGTGCTAATTAACGTGCTTTAGTCATTAAGTAAATAATTATTACAATTTTTTACACACTTAATTTAATATAAACATTATAGTCAACTTTGTAAAAAATAATTTGTATGAAACGGTTGTCTACAAAACAACAATTTTTCGAAAATACTTTACTGTGTTCGGAAGATTTATACCAATAAACAATTTTGTCAGTCAGAATTCTAAAACAAACATGGGCAATTTTTATTATACCAATCCACATTTTTCAAGCTTCTATAAGAGTAAATTGATATCAATAATATCAAATACTGTACTCAAAATGACAAGCCGCTTGATTATCTTTAGCATTAGAAAGACGATGATAGCATCCTGGGTTCATACGAGAGCTGAATTTATTAGAATTTGTAGATGGCCTTATACGCAAACACACTTCAATCGATATCTCATTAATTGTGAATTAATACAGTGCAGCTTTGATCTATATAACATAAACCACTAAAATTTGTAGGCCAACGCGGATTTCTCGGCTTTGCAAACGTTTGCCGAACGCAATTTCGAAAAGAACCAACTTTTAAATCTGACTGGTGAACTTGGCACAGAGAATAAAAACTTTTGCATATTCCCAGTTCAGGTTGCGGAGTTTCATATTTTACGTCTTCCTGTACTACATTTCCAACTCGGGAAAATGTATCTTCTCGCAAAGAAATATTAAATTGACCAGAATACGGACAAAGAAATATCCACGACGATATTATGTTAAGGCCGCTGTAAATCTTGCCCGGCTTTTGTTTTCGCTCACTTGCTTTCTCAAAGTGACGTCCCTTTTTTTTCCCTTTAATAAGTTGGATGGAATTTGCGTGACAAATTTAAGGGCCATCATGCTGTCCTGCAAATATGTCGTATTACAACACTTGTTATAGGGGTAATTTATTACTTACATACTCAGTGTGATCTATTTCAAAAAGTTTAATTCTGGAACACATTTTCCTAATTTAAATTCTATTTGGCTTTATACTATACCATTAAAGTAAACCGGACAAAGTCTCATAACTGATATAATTAGTGTTTCAAAAAAACTATCCGCGAATTTCCAAATAGAGTATTTAGAAAAGAACGTTTGGTCAATAAGCAAGCCGAAAATGCGAAATGTTTAAATTAAATACATTAATGAAATTTATAGCAAAAACACTTTTGATTCAGTCTAGTAGTTTGTTATAACAAATGCGTTAACTAATTAGTTCTCCAAGAGACGAAATCGAACACTTCATTAAAATCTGTTCAGAATTGGTAAGATAGATTTTTTTGAACAGTGTTTTGAAAATATAGTTCTTTTTTCTATATTTTATTCTGTAAATAACGTAACGAATAATTTGATGTTGTAAATGAGAACTGCCGCTGTTGCTGCTGCAAACGCCATTTGAATCTGTTCGCCATTAGGGTAACTATTTATACACTGAAAACCGCACCAGCTCGCTCAAAATTGTCGTGTAAAAACAGCCCTCTCCCTCTCTAAGGCCGTCAAAATTGAAAAAGAGTTTAATTTGGAAGGCGGGCAAGCAAATGTAACCGCAACGGCAAATAGGACCGACGATATTTAGCTCGTGGTTGACCATATATACGAACATTACACAAATTCCAACGAGACGGGGTTTATAATTAATAGTTTGAGGGCGGTGATAATCGGTCAGATGTATTTAATTAAACTTATAGTATTTAGCTTAGGGGGCGGATAGACTAAAACCTTTCTTCCGGACCCGGTCGGTCGGTTTAATAAACTGACTAGAATTAGGCGTGGTTAAATATAGAACTTAGACTATAACCGCTGCTAAAGTTTGGAGGTTATAGTATAGTGCGGTATAATCAATAATAAGTCTATAAACAAGAACTAGACTAAATTGTATAATTGGCCATGTTCTTATATTTAATGAATACGACTGAAAAAAACCATTGAGTTGTTTGAGTTCGTTTGGTGATTAGAACACGGTTAACAATAATTCCTGCTATATCGAGTGAAAAATGTGCATCAATAAAATTCGTTCATAGCACTACTATACAGGAGTGGAAAATAGTATAGTATATTATCACCTAATTTGTTGTTTAATTGGTTTGGTAGGTTGTACAGCTATCTGTAGATGGAATGCGAAGGTAAATCCGTATTCTTTGGTCAAAATCTGCGATTTTTTTGACAACTTTGACTAGGAATGTGTAATTTTGATATTTGAAGATCTTTTTCGGGGACGAGAAATGATGAGAAAATGAATAATCAAGATAAATAATAAATAAGAATCTAATAACTACTTCGCACTTTTTCTTTTTTATTCTGTATAATAATAATAATAATAATAATAATAATAATAATGAATGGGCCTCGTGAAAGCACCAGGAGGATATTATGCTCAGTAGTGACTTCAATACTACTATATGGCGCCTCAATATGGGAGCAAGCAGTTGAGAAGAAAGTCTACAAAAGGATTCTGAGTAGTGTTCAAAGGAGGGTAGCCATAAGAGTCTCCGAAACATACAGAACAACTTCCAATAAGGCACTTATGGTTATAGATGGACCAGACGCTAAAACGGAAGCACAAAACACGGTGATGTTATGCTGGCAAGAGGAATGGGAATGGAGTAAAAAGCTAATTCCAAATATAAGACCCTGGTTTGAGAGACGACACGGTGAAGTAGATTTCTTTCTTACACAAATACTCACCGGGCACGGGTGCTTTGAAGCCTACTTCAAACGTTTCAATCTGGCCGAAACCGAGGAGTGCCTTTATTGCATAAACGTGGATACGGTTGAACACACTCTATTTTTCTGCCCAAGATGGAACATGCAGCGGAATATAGCAGAGCAAATACTCGGTCACATAAGCCCAGACAACCTAGTAGAAAAAATGTTAGAGTCACCGACAAATTGGGACCACGTCTGCAAAATGGCAAAGATAAGACCGAGTGGGTATGACCTGATCCTGAATTGCACACATGAAACCCTCAGTCTATTATTATTATTATTATTATTATTATTATTATTATTATTATTATTATTATTATTATTATTATTATTATTATGGGTATATAAGTGAGACCAAGAATAGAACAGTCGCGAAGGTCACTCAGCAGGAAACAATTTCAATACCTGCTAAAGTGTTTATTTATTTTTGCGTAAGTCACAAAACACATATTTTTAGATTTTTGTAATTATTCGTTCAACAGTTTTAAGTGAAAAATGACCTTTCAATTAGAAAATGTACCCCTTATTTACTTCCATTACGTCATATTTTTTATTGTATAATTAACCATATCACACCTACTTAAAACGAGACATCATCTATTATTCATTTCATAGTACTGCAATATTTTATAATTCTACAGAAAATAAGTTCCGGATCTTTCTACATATATTGAACGAGTTATTACCACAAAATTTAACCTAATTACCATAATTCCGCTAATGACCATTCATTACCACTCTACTTCCTGTCATTACAGTAATTACAACTTATTTGCCATAAAATTTCCACTAATCACCACGAGTGCGTACACTAAATTGCCACAATAAAATGTCCCTCGTATTAAAACGAAAAACGAAAAAACCAATCGGGTTTCATCCTTATCGTATGCAACGAGTACCTTCATGATTAAATACTTATTTTGTTTTAGAGGGTAGGTTAATGGGCACTGTCATTTAAATGTGAATGGTATGAAGGAAATCGCTTCGAAAAACTGATTACTTTCAGCGTCCGTTCGTTACGTTTTATTGAATTATGTATACCGGGAGGACCGACGCTTCGCGCTGTTGCTGACGTCGGAAAGAGACGGCAAAGTATAGCCCTGAACCTTAAAACGGATGAGTTGTCTATACATCTAAAACGAGTAATTTGAATTTAAAGACCGCAATTTTAGAAGTCTTTATTGTTTTAATTTACATTCGTTATTGGACGGGAACGGATAAAATTTAACTTTAATGATACAATGAAGTCTACTTCTTGCGAAATATAAAAGACGCGGTAACTGGAAAGGGATTAAATTCCAGGAATTTTTAATCGCCTCAGAAAACGTTAAATCTACTTTAGAATTTTCTTCAGTTTTTTGCTAAACTTGAACATAATGGTGGGGTTAATGGAGTGGGATGCGAAACTACTAAGCATTAAAACTACCGATTAATTTGTCAGTATAACGCTTAGTTACTGTTTTAAGAAATTAAGATAAGATTTTGAGGAGATTTACGCAGAAGGATTGAGGATAACCGATCACTGACAACTATGCCTTTAAGACTGAGGGTTGAGTCTAATGTTTCAAATATTCCCAAGAACAGAATAGCTTAGGCGCGCCTTATTTTTTTTTTGTATATTGATTAAATTTGACATAACATGACGCGTGTAAAATTGACGTGAGCAAATTACTTCAATCTGAAAAATGTTGGTTTTGTTCTATTTTCCTCAATGCTCTGTGTCTGAGTGCATTCCAAGAGATGTTGACGAAATGGGTTTCTGCTTTCCAGTAAAGTTGCACGTAGTTTAGACAGTAGATATTAAAACATAAATATTGAAAGCAAAATAATATGTAATAATGCAAGCTTTCTCCTCATTAATTCTTTGTTGTTAACTTGTAGGGAAGTACGTGAATATAATCCTGATTTTTTAAATTTTGACAACCTATTTAACTTCAAAACAATAACTGCTGGACCAGGTCTTCAACAAAATAAAACCAGGATTCTTTACTACCCACACCTACAATTCTGCAGAGGCGATGAGTAATTACCAGAATTACCTAAACACTGATTATTAACCAGATCATTTAGAGATAATGATCCTACTTGAAACTTAACTTCGTTCTTACTTTCTACGATCTTATAGGCGATTGCAATTAGGAATCAATTTCATGTTGAGCCCAATCTGACTCTAATAACAAAGTGAGCATCGGCTTATTTTGCGTTGCGTCAAATTCCTCTATATTTCCACAAGATTTAGCTCCTTGACTGTACTTTGAATAAGTCGAAATGCCACTCTATTTTCAACAGACGTCTAGTCTTCTCAACGTCCATATCTATCATGCCTCGCTGGCCATATGTTGAGATTACTACTATGCCAACTAAGGAAATTACGTGAATATGTTTCTGACATTTTTAATGTTAACAACTTAAACAACTTCAAAACAATGACTGCTGGACCACATCTCCACCAAAATAACACCAAGATACTTTACAGGTCCTCGGACCCTATGGAGTCCAGCGATGTTTGGAAGATTCAGTCAATTCTGCTGGGGCGATGACTAGCAGAAATACCTAAACACTGAGGATTAGCCTGATCATTTAGAGGTAATGATCCTACTTGGACCTCATTTCGTTCTAACTTTCTTCGATCTTATAGGCGATTGCAAATAAAATTAAAAAAGTTATGTTAAAATCCAGTTGCGTCAAATTCCCCTGAATCTCTTCAAGATTTAGTTTTGCCTGTTGTAGCTCCTTGACTGTACCTTGAATAAGTCGAAATGCGATTGGATTTATTTCCAACAATCTAGTCTTCTCAATATCCATATGGCTCGGTTGCCAAATGTGAAGATTACTACTATCCCAACTACTTGCAGGAAATTACGTGAAACAACAGCACCATACTTTACAATTTCTATTGCTTAAAGGCAGTTTTTTAATGAAAATGCTCAGTCGTGTCGAAGACGTGCCAAGAGGATTTCTTAAGAAGCCGTTATTAATTAAGTTCGAAGTCAGTATTACGGCTACGTAATTAGTACGTCACAAAGAGTAATATGGTATGCCGTGTTATATGTCGTGCTCGGCGTCGTAATGTGACATTCCACTTTTAGTGGAGAACTAAAGTTCCGGATGCCGGCACACCATAGGACGATAAACGTTCCAGATTTCGCGATCGCAGTTTATGACCGACGCATATATTAAGGGTTATGAAGCGATGTGATATGCTCGCGATCAAAAATACGAGCCGTGTATATTTTTCTAATGGAGAAAACGGGCAATCTGGGTTATAATGGCTCTCTGAAATGGCAGTATCAGACGTTCGAGGCCCCACATGAATGGCAACAATGTAACCAAACGTATTTTTAGGACGAGGAATAACAGAGTGACCAAAATTTGTATTTATTTCTACAAACATACAATATAAACAAAACATAAACAAAATGGTAAACAACAAAATAAAATAAAATAAAACAAAATTACAACAAAATGAAAGAGATAGATGAAGACCTTATCCCGTTTTCAAAAATATTAATATTAGTATAGTTAGTTGACACGACAGTAAGAGTAGCAAGGCACCATCGCAATGTTATACAATACTATTGCGAAGAAAAGCGGAATAGCTTTACTGATAGTCTTTAAGTTCTTTCTTAAATAATATTGCACTCTGGAAGCGGTCAAGTTGGCCCGAAAAGCGATTCGGTAGTGCAGCTGACCTAGTAAGGAAAGAACTCTGCCCATAGTTAGTACGATCGAACTCCACCTGGAAGGAGTGGTCTATTCTGGTCTGACGGTCCATGGGAATTTGAATGCAGTAGATTATGCATGCGACGAATCTGAAGAGTTGTAAGTTGGAGAGAATTTTCCAATTCCGAGTAATCAACTTCCTCATATCCTTGGTGCTTCTTAAATGCAGGAACCTATGCTGCACTCTTTCTATAGCCTGTATGTGGACGGAAAAATGAGTGACGAAAACATGAGGCAATATCATTCATATAGACAATGAAGAGTAAGGGTCCTAGGTGCGATCCTTGTGGAACACCAGAAGGCACTTGAATTTCGGTGGATTGAAAGCTCTGGACGCGCACAATCTGCACTCTTTCAGTAAGGTACGATGTTAACCATTAAAAAAGTTTTCCCTGGATTCCAATGTTTCGCAATTTTTTTATTAAGATTTGATAATTTACTCGATCAAAAGCCTTTGAAAAGTCTGTGTAAATAGCATGGAAGTGAGACCCCCCTCCAATGATTCCAGCACAAAATCTGTGAATGTAAGCAAGTTTAGCTCAGTGGATTGTTGGTCGACGAAGCAAACTTTCAGGCCAGCAGATAAATAGATTTCTGAACGAAAATTGGCACGGGGGTCTTGTGATGTGAGATATTTGAATTCGTTCTTAATTGTAGGAGTTCCTATTTCTTATCCAATTAATTGAAGGTTCAACACAAATATATAACTTAATTAAATAATATGCGTTTTTAAAATTAAATTGCAAGCTAACCTAAGGAAAGACCTATTATTTTATCATTGAAGTATATATCACTTTTTGGAGATATTAGTGCTTATTTCGAACTGAACAAGTGATTAAAGATAAATCATTAAGGAATGCTTTACGGTGGTTTTTTATTATTTTTATTTATGTATTTTTATTTATGTATAACAGATGCGACTAGCAGTAGAACTTGAAATTTTTAGTAATATTTTAATTGACTTTAATGGGCCCTAGTAAAATCAACAGCTGACAAGTAAAATTAATGTTCTATAAAAAAATTGTAATTTTATATTTGATTTTTTTGAAAACTGAGCATTATTTGAAGCCAAAATTTTTGATATTTCGTTCGTTTTCACGAAAAAGCCGCTTTGCGGTATATTCATTAGCTACCTAAAGATAATAATAATAAATCCATCAAAGGTTGCAGTGATCCGTCTAAATCTTAAAAAACATTAAAAGCTGAAAATCCATTTTTTTCATGTACCGAATTAAAAATGTTAAAAACTCTCAATCCTGATAATTATAAACGAAATTTTAAGTTATATAGATATGTAAATAAAGTTTGATGTTGACTACGGAGTTCTTAGCAAATTGCTATCATTTGAAATCATTTTATTGAGACATAACTTCAACTTTAATTACATATCATCAATTTTATCATCACTATACGTTATTTAAGACTTTTACTTTTATTTATAAGATCTAGGAAGATTAA